CTTACCAATGCCAACTTCCACTTGAAGATAAAGGTCAAATGCATTAGCATGCTGTAGATGTCTGCGGAATTCCCACAGCAGACTCAAAAGTAAGCAACGACATCTGTGAACATTCCTTTCAATAGCTTGATGTCACTTTTTCCCTCCTAGGCCTAATTATGCCCTTTGTACCCCTCCCGACCGCAAAGGTCTGCAATCTTGAGTCCAAAACCTCGGTGAAAATTGCGCAGGCCGTATCGCGGACGTGGTACAACTTAGACCCCAGCCTGTGGCCCATAATTCCTGAACGTATCACACTGCACGCCGACGGAGAGGGGGAATTCAGCTCCCCCTTCACCATATACTCACAGGATGGACAGAGGAGCATAGTGATGAGCTCCAAGTTCAAATGGAGCCTTGCGCGCGACGGCGTGTTCAGCGGCTTTGAAGAGATGGATGAACAAGCGCTGTTCGACACGATCCCGAAGCTCATCAGGTCTGAAGAAGCATGGACACGGAAACCATGGGCGGGAGGCAGAGTCTCTGCATACCTTCGCATTGGCCGTGGCGTACCAAGTTCTCTGGAGCCGGAGTCTCCGATACTCGACTCATTCATCCCTGCGTCATCCGATGGGCTGCCACTCCCTGTAGAACTTCTGGAGGCCAGTTTCCTGTTGGCATCTCAGGATGATGTTGCAGCGCAGAAGCTTCAAGTGGTTTGCAAACGCTCGAGGGAAATCGTCATGAAGCCCCGACGGCGCCAGGCCTTCCACATTTTGACCGAGCGGTTCCTGCGCAACGGACTCGTCAGTTGCCAATTTTCTGCTTCCTTGCTTGAACTCACACTCTCCAAAATATTCAGGCGTTGTGGTTAGACTGCGGGCATTTTGATCCAGTCCCCAACCGCAATACACCGCTGACCTCGTTCTACAGCATGGAAGCCCGTATATTCAAGCACCCCCCTGCATGTAATTATCCCGAGCCCGAAGATCCTCAAGGAGACTGGAAACTGGGCTGGAATGTGAAAGAGAGAATGTATCATTCGTGCCCGTTGCCACTTCCCAACCAAGAGCGCCCAGCGCTCTGGAGAAGGCTGCATGGCGACAAAGAGTACGATATGCATCCAGAGGTGGAGAAGATCTGGACTTGATTTCCCTGTCATAACAAATTTGTTATGCGCCGGAAAACATTTGTCGTGTGAATTGAGCTGGTTTTGGGCACTTATTACCATTGATCACTTCAAGGGGAGGGGATGAAACGACTCCGATCCGCTAACATTGAGTCAGTGCCCTCAAATGTTCCGTTCTAAAAACTCACAATGATCGGCAGGTCAGGACAAGGATCATTCACGGTCACCGGAAAACGAGCTATGATGCACCTCAGCCATCAATATCATTGTTCTTATTCGAAATACATTATACAATTTCACAGCAGTAGTGGCTATGTTCGAATCACCCCCACAAGCCAACCAACTGCTGTGTCGGCACTTCTCCTTGAGGTCTCTTCATTTTAAAGCACCACCTGAAATATGCCTATTGTCACCCGCTCCTCGATGAGGGCGTCTTCGGGGTCACCGTCGTCTTCTCGGCATTTGATTGAATCGCCGCTTTCAAGTCCAGGGTCTGTTGTCGTTGAGCAGCCAATGTCTTCCTGCTCGCGAAAAACAAAAACTACGAAATGCCCTGCCGGACGAAGCAAACCCATCGCGGCCTCGCCACACTACATCACGGTCCCACACATCCAACTTCTAGAAGTTCTATTCCCTCTCTTACCCTCCCTAGTTTTTGACTCACACGTCAACACGGAATCATACGTCAACACGGAAGAAAACATACCGGCCGCGTGCCATGGACGAAAATGTATACTGTGCGGCTCTAGCGATATGTGGGGGTATCATCCGTATAAACGCATGGTACTTATATCGTTTTTTCGTAATCGGCTCTGGTGGCGTGATTTGCAGTAACATGCCTCTGTAGACCGCTGCGATTCCTGTAATTTCTGGTGCGCCCCCGGTCGACAAGATCCCCCGTGAAATTGGACTGGTCACGCATCCCCAAAGCCGCGACTCGAGCCAGGCTTTGGGAATTCAAGGACTGAGCCGTAGGCCGTCCCAAGCCTGACACACGGCTTTGAGCCGAGCCTGGCACATCACTAGTTGTTACCTGTGGCTATAATTCAATCTGTGGGTCGACCTCGGCTTTTGATGGAATTTGTTCTTATACTACTATAAACCGAAGCCACTACTTGGAGCTACTCGGAGCCATAATATGGGCGTGCTAGAGATGGTACAATAAGAGGAGTGCAGTACTTGTTTGAGCAAGTAACTAACCACCCGTCAAATTCAAATAAGCACCGTACTTAGGCGGACGTTCTTCTCCAGCTTCTCCCGACCGTCACTGAAGGCACAGGGACCGAATGGAATGATAAGACAGAGGCTATGGCTGCTATCCAAATGATGCTCGCTCCATGGTAAATGTGCTTCACGAGCCACTACATTCCGAAATTTCTCTGTGTTGGGTGCGAGTTGGTAGCAGATCCTTCCATCTAGTAGAAGGATCGTAAGTTCCATAATTGCTATAATTTTGTCTATACAAACGCTGAAGTTCTTGACATAGGACAAGTAAAATGTTTGGTTGGATGGCCGCCTGTCATCTATGACGAGTTCCACAGCTTTGAAAATGGCTGTACACAATCGTAAAAGAACCATTTTGGCAATTGTAATAACATGGCTTCGCCCTTTCGTCAAGTGTCAATGCGAACATAAATTGTATAGGCGCACACACATAAAGGATCAAGCGAGGTCTGTGAGATGGTGGTGGTTGAGCTTATCTGTTATTATTGGAAAGTCATGTTCCCGAGTGCTATCAATCGTAGAACTCGAATATCGCAGGGCCAGACAATACCATTTTTTTTTTAAATATCTAGGTGGTGGGAGGCCTTTCTCTTTTAGCTCCTCTAGGTCTTCACCGGAAGCCTCTGCTCCGAAGGATATGATGATACAGAGCTGGCGATCGTCATCCAGAGGGTATCCAGTGACCACCCAGTCTATGTCGCGATCAACCCTCCTCAAGATGTGCTGGGTAGCCGCGTTGATCCAAGGATCTACGGGGCTCTCAAGGTTCAGAAATGCCTTCAGCAGCTCCCTGTCAAGACAATAGCCCTTGACGTAAGACTTGCTGCGTTGAACCGCATCCTAATATTCTAAGATAAGTCTGAAATGAGAGGGACATGGTAATGACAAACCATTCTGGTCCGAGAACAACCTCAAACTAGAGGTATGTTCAACTCGGTTATTCGAATTTGACCAGGAATGTATGCGTACTCACCTCGATCGGAGGAAGGCAAGAATCCCCGCAAGATGAAGGAGATAAAGAAGAAAATGGCTAGATTTGGCGTTAGATTCAATTGCATACTTGAATCAGCGGCGCACCTAAGTTCCTCCCAAGCTCGAAAAGTCGTAATGGACATATTCGAGTTGTTGGGCTGTTTTTGAATGTGGAATCGGCCAATCGAAGGGTCCTGCCGCGAGTTCAAAATTTGGTCAGGGACATCGACAGGATCTGATGGAAAGCAATTCGTTTGACAAGGAGTCCAACGAACAGTTTGTAGAGGTCTGCGCCACACATATTCGAGAGTTCCATTGTTGCTACATTCATAATACATCCATCTAAATGTCCAAATTCTTATACAGCTGATGGGAATAAAGTCATGTTCCATCTTAGGCATTGTAGCCAGGAGGATTGTCGCTCGGCATGCCAAAACTAGATAGAGACACAGACGAGGACTCCGCCGGCGATGTGTATGTCGCTGATCGAGATCGGTTAGCCGGAGATAATGCTTGGTATGACGTTTGTACGCACGCAGCCCTTCCTCCTCTTCTGCAGAGCGCCGCTTCATGTAGATCGCTCGCTCGCGGGTCTTCTCGAGGAGGCTCACAAACTCGAACATGGCGCGATCTTTGAAGCGCAGCTCAGCTCTCGTGCCAGTAGTGAGGCCACCCTCCGCAGAGGGCTTGATATCGAACGAGAGATAGTTGGGGCCGAATGTGGGTTGCTCAAATTTGGTAGAAAGGACTGAGGGTAGCGGGACAGACAGTGATTCGAAGGCAGCGGTGGGAGCGTCACTTGTGAAGATCAGCTGTACGCGTCGAGTGATGAGACGATAAATCAAATCAGCATGCTGTTAGAAGATTGACAAGGGTAATGAGCCGCACACGTTGATCAGTTAGCCAGGCCTTCCCCAAAGCCTTGAGCTTCTTGCTTCCCCCAGATCCTCCCGCTCTCTCGTCGCCCACTGGTGCCGAATCTGGTATGGTCAGCGCAAGATCTACTCCTGTGTCGATATTGGTGATCGTCATCTCATGTGGAAGAGGAACAGGAGAGCGGTTGGGGCTGAGCATTGTCCAGTTCAGCGCCATGGTGGCCGTTGGTGGTTGGGTGATGGTCTTGGCAGTGCGCAGGCTACCATCGTTACCTCGAGTAGGTCATGACTTGATGGCTGCCTAGACGAATATGCATACTCTGATCCAGATTTATGGCTACCTAGCGCAATGGTAGCGCGTTTGGCTTCGATCGCTAAATGGCACCAAAAGGTTGCAGGTTCGAGTCCTGCGGTGGTCATGACTTTTAGTGTCATCTTTGTTGTCTTTTTCATGTAAATAACCTCCTCGTTCCAGTGTTCAGAAACCTTTGTATAATATCTCATTTAGCTTGTCATTATAAGGCTGTTCATGAAAGAAAAAATGCCTGCTAATATTACAACATTAATATAGATATCCATATCCATAACTCATATTGTCTCTGTTTAAACATATCTCTATCGGTTAGTGGTGGTTCTCGTTGTGGTACTCATCAACTCCGAGAAGACGCAGGCTTAAATTTTGCTAGAGACAGCCTTTTGTCCTATGCTATGCCATTGACTATTTTGCTCACTTTTCTCCACACCAGAAAAGTAACGCAAAACTCCGTAGAGCAGACTAGAGCAGAGCGTGGAATAGACGTCCGCCCTTAAGCCTTCTACAAGTCTCTATCGATTAGTGGTTAGATCATCTCGTTGTGGCCCCTCAGTGACTCCGAGAAGACGCAGGCTCGAATCCTGCTAGGGACAGCTTTTGTGTTTTATTGCTACTCTGCTGGGTGTGACTCCACTGACTGTTGGTTGAAGCTGATCACATCACCATGTCAGATGCAGTGTTTCGCCGGCGTCGTCGAGCTATGGCATCAGCAAATGGCTTTCCACTATATAAGGTATCAGCGCCACATGGCCCGAATGGTAGCGCGTTTGGCTTCGATTGCTCAATGGCATCAAAAGGTTGCAGGTTCGAGTCCTGCAGTGGCCATGAAGTTCGAACGTGTTAGCTTTTTTCCTCTGGAGGTCAGGTGTTCCAGTTGAACGTTGGCGATTGGCACCTTTCCCGAGCTGAGTGAGTCTCATGCACACCTATCTCGGGCGACAGCTGGGCTTGACTGACTCAAGTATATATCAATACAACATCTCAAGCACAACACCGAACATCTAATACTTCATGTCCTGGTGGAACTCACACGGCTGCCTCCCAATCGCCAGCCCCTGCCCAGGCTCAACCTGTATCTCATCCATCTCAAAATCATCGCACCCCGGCTCCCCACAGCCACACATGATCTGCACCTGCACGATATGGTCCCCGAGGTCATTAACATAGTGCCACTGCGCGCAGTCCGAACCAGGCTCGCCAAACACATGCGGCGTGAACTCGTCGTCGTTCGCAGCCTCGTCAAAGTCGCCCTCCTCCCCGCGCAGGAACGGGTGCGCGAGCGCCTCCTTCGGCGTGATGCGCCGCACGGAGAACGGGTTCATGAGCTGCTCCGCGAGGTCGATCGCTGAGTCGACCTCCTGCCGGTGCGATGTGGGGGACGGCGCTAGTAGGCCCGACAGGCTCGTGCCCTCGCCGGACATTGGGGGTGAGGAGGAGCGGGGGAAGAAGAGCGAGGTCGGCGAGGAGGAGCTCGAGGAGGAGGATGGTGGGACGGAATGACGGCTGTGTTCGAGCTGGTTCATGTGTGCGTGGAACGCGGGCTGGTTGTGTGGGTAGTAGCGCAGGTCGGGCTCTGGAGGGTCGTAGATCGTCGGATTCTGTTTCTCGACGAACTCCCGCCATGACATGGGTTTGCCCACGCTTGGCACGTTCGTGCAGAATGTTCGGCCTGGGGTGTTATGTTAGGTGTATAGTTCGAAAGCAAAACGTTTTGCGTAACTAACTGTGGAGAGTTGCGACGTCCGCCATTTTAGAGTATCCAACAATAGAGGCGATCTCCATAAGAGCTTCGATGTCATCGTTTGATTGAAATAACGGAAACTTTCCTGTGAGGAAAAACAGAAGTATAACGCCGGCAGCCCAGACGTCGATGGCTGATGTGCAGTGAGCACAGATGTATGTTTAAGTGAGAGAGATAACACACCGCCTGACTGCTCCATGCATTTGAATAATACCTCAGGCGCACGGAACCCTCTCGTTCCCGCGCGATTCGCCTTGGTGACGGGTCTACAATATATGCGTGAACACCGTATGAAAATGGTCAGAGGGCGACTTCTATGACTAACCTGGTATCTTGCGCAGGGTAACCCACCCTCTCCGAAGGCAGTTTAGACCTTTCCTTCGCCTCTTGCTGAGCCTGTTTGATCACGCTTTGTGATAGGTCGCGTTGAACCTGCCCATGCGGGTGTTCAGCCGAGGGGCCAGTATGGAAGCATGCTCCAAGTGATGATGTACTCGTTTCCATTCGCTGAGGGACGAAGATAGGAGGAAGAAGCAAGGAGGAGCACCAGCACTCACTGATGCGAGGCCAAAGTCACACAGCGTCCCAATGCCGGTGCGGGGGTCAAAGAGAAAGTTGGCGGGTTTCACGTCACGGTGAATGATGCCTCGCTTGTGTACGTCGCGCAGGGCACGAAACATGCATCTGAAGTATGCTTTGACACCGTGCATTGAGACCGCACGGTAATAATCCTGTACATCGAGTTAGCGAGAATGGATGTGGGGAAGGTATAGCTCACCCGAAAATCCTCGTTGCGATGGTATGGCATTATTGCGACGACCTGGTCGTCCTCGCGAAACGCAGTGATGAGCTGAGATATATGACGACAGCCTCGACAGTCTGCCATAATTGCGATTTCATTCCTGACGCGCTCGGGGCTGCTTGTAACATATATCCTCTTGATTGCGACGAAGACTTTTGAGTCTCTTGGCCGAGGGGCAGATTGGTAGTGTGCTGAGGAGGAGAGTGGGTGGTGCCCGTGCCATGCGTCATTATCCCATTTCGTGTGATATCCAAGATCCAGCGCTTTGTATACGGACGAGAACGTGCCAGTACCGAGTCGATCCAGCAGCTTGTAGTCCTTTGCGAGTTCGGGCATCTTCTCCTCCAGGTCAGCGATCTCCTCTATAATCTCATACTGCTCCTCTCGTGACTTCAACATGATGGTGTTCTCTTCGTTGACGTCTTCTGGATTGAGGCCTTCGTCCTCGTCCATCTCCTCCTCCTCTGCCTCTTCTTCAATACGGACCGTCGTGGGTATTGGAGGGGCTGGTGCCGGCGCCTTTGGTGACAGTATGATCAGGTCGTCGCTCATCTCTGCGTCGGCATCGATATTTTCTTGCTTCTTTTGCGCAGACATTACAGGTACTACCGTCGCCAGGTGGTTGTGGTATTCCTTCATGTCATACCCATTGATTGGGTCGTCCGAGGACAGAGGGCTGAGGCTGCTCGAGAAGGGGCCTCGACGACGTGCTGCTTCGGCGTTCTGGAGCTGCCTGCGGTATTCCCTATTTCGTGGGTCGGACGAACCGACCTCGAGAGGGTTAGATGAGTGTTGGGAGAGAAAAGCGGCAGCCATCGAATTTGCAAAGGTTCGCGACGGAAGAACGAGTGAAGCTGCTTTCAGTTTGACGCGTCGTAAAACATATCACGTGGGGCTGTTGCCTATGATGACGTTTTGAAATTACTAGTGAGCGCGAAGAGCGGACAAGGAGCGATTCTATTAACGCCTCCGAGTCTCTTCTGACTCTTCAAGCTGACTGAAAACTTCGCTGCTGCGGCCGTGATCATCGCCAACCCTGCAGGTTGCAGTCGACATAAATACCATGTTTTTGATACATAGGATCCCTCAATTCGCCTACAACTCTCAATACACGCAATGCCTTCACTGAACATAGCTATAGTCGGCGGTGGCCCTGCCGGTCTCACCCTTGCCAACCTTCTTCTCGCATCGCCAACCTCGAACAAAATCAACGTGACCGTCTTCGAACGCGATGCCTCGACCTCTTCGCGCGTTACGAAGGGTGGCACCCTCGATCTACACGCCGACACCGGCCTCGCTGCTCTCGATGCTGCCGGGCTTCGCCCCGCCTTCGATGCCCGAGCACGCTATGATCCCCTCTCCAGCGCCCTAACCATTGCCGACCGCCACGGCACTGTAGTTCTCAACCTCGGCGACGCCAATGAGGCAAACCCGCGGCCAGAGATTGACCGTGAGGACCTCAAGACAGTCCTGCTCGACTCATTGCCTGAGGGGACCGTCCACTGGGATGCGCACGTCAACTCCGTCACCCCAGACGGCTCACTCGAGTTCCGATCGGGCGCAGAGGAGCCCACGGTGGGGAAGTACGACCTCGTAGTAGGCGCGGAGGGCGCGTGGTCCAAAGTGCGCGCTCACATCACCGAGTCGCGTCCTGTGTTCTCGGGGATCAGTGGGTTCGAGCTGCACATCGCGGATCCCGAGACAACATATCCTGATATTGCAAAGAAAGTCGGGCATGGACTGTATTACGCGTTCGGGAACCAACAATCGTTTGCAGGGCAGCGTCTGGGGAATGGGTCGATCATGCTGTATGCGATGGCGCGGACGGAGGGGCCAAACGACCCTCAAGAACTTATCGACAGCTGCGGAGGCGACTTAGGACGTGTACAGCAGCGCCTGAAGAAGCGGTATGAGGACGCAGGGTGGGCGCCGGAGATTTGTGACGCGATTGGGGCGGCGGATCCTGCGACGATTCGAGGGTGGCCGTTGTACGAGTATGTCTTGCCGGATGGACATGTCTTTGCACACCGTCCAGGATGGACTGTCTTGGGAGATGCCGCGCATGTGATGACGATATTCGCGGGAGAAGGAGTTAACACCGGGATGAGGGACGCGTTGGAATTGGCCAAGCGAGTGAGGGAGGCAGCGGATGGTGAGGGAGACCGAATTATGGAAGCGCTGGATAGGCTGGTCCAGGAGTACGAGGAGGAAATGTTCGAGCGGTCACGCCGAATGATGACAGAGACCTTCCTGAACAAGGAGGTACTGTTCGACGAGCGTGCACCGGAGTCTGCTATCGAGAGACTGAAGGCGCAGGGCTGAGTGGAGAGCCATCCCTAAGGGGAAATCTAGTTGGCGGTGTATTTTTTGACCATTGCAATATGCATGTCAGATGTAATCTATCGGTGCCCAATTTGTATAACCGCTGTATTGAGGTGATAACTGGGGAATGGACAAATATCGAACTAATTTACTCGACTTCAGAAAATGCCAAAAAAAACTGTCGCTAGCAGGATTCGAGCCTGCGTCTTCTCGGAGCTAAGCAATTGCCACAACGAGATGATCTAACCACTAATCGATAGCGACTTGTTAAAAGGCCTTTTGGTGCAGTAGTCGTCCCTATGGGATTTCCGTCATTTTATCATATCTTGCATCGATAGTGCCTGTTTCGAGATCCAGACGTGGATTTCTGAATTGTACAGATGGTGGCAGAGCAGGTAGTGAAGGAAAAAAAAAAAAACTGTCGCTAGCAGGATTCGAGCCTGCGTCTTCTCGGAGCCACTGAACGCCACAACGAGATGATCTAACCACTAATCGATAGCGACTTGTAAAGCAATAAGGCCTGTTGCATCGTGGGGTTGGATTGCTCATGGTTTCAGACTTATGTTTGAACAGAAAGGCGTCTTATGCAACCGCTCATTCGGAATCAAGTCGAAAGCCTAGAAAAATACATGACATTGTAATGTTTGCAGGTGGGAGTCAGACTCAACGTGTGGCGTGCACTGACATGTTATATATGGACGGGGGGGAAAACATGAAACTTCGAGAAA